TACAATTAATATTCCACACACACACATAATTCATCTACAGTTTGATAGTTAATAGAAATTTTATGCACTTACAACGTTAAGTAAACTATATAATATATTCAAGTACCTTTTTCAGATTTAGAATCGTTGCTCGAACAACTGATAATGTGACTAAACATAAGGTTAAGGTTATAATTGTAAACTAAACATTGTAAATGAAATAATGGTTGAAGACGGCTTGAATGGGTAATCAAGAAAAACTTTTACATAACAGCAAACGTTTCGACAAGGTTTTGTCATCATCAGGTAAACTAAAGCACTATGTTTCAACCTTGTACAAAGATGTGGAGTGTTTTCTTTGTGAATCTTAAACAAGCCATACATTCGTGAAATTTTGCCAGTAATATTCCTTAAAATTCTTAGCCAAAAAACGAACGATTTTAATAATATTATTACAATTTTTAAATAGGGAACCGGATATATTCATATTTTATAAATAAAAACCCATAATTATTGTTTTAGCTATTGAAAATATGGCTCTAACCTTCATGAATTTTGTTTAATTTGATCCTGGTATCACCACTGGTGTTATTTATTGCGATGTTTTATTTGTAAATTACTAAATGATGGTAATAAATGTGTTGTGGCTTTTATCGTTTTTAACAGATATATAATTATCGTGTATTATTTGTATGAGGGGCTTAGTTGGGGAGGGCAAGGGTATGGTTCGTTGACTGTTGCCGCAAAAACGCGTCCCTACTTTGGGATCAAATTCCACTATTCAGTCAACAGTTGGTGGTAGGTGCTGTTGACTAGCTGCCTTCTCTCTACTCTATCAGTTCAAAATTAGGGACGGTTGTGTAGTTTTCGCGAAAAGTGTAAAACAAACAAACGAATGTTTCAATGAGAATTGTAATATTAAAATCGTTTCGCGAGTAATTTTGATCATTGAGAGTAAAGAACATACTAATAGTTTTATTTAGTGAATGAGGCCCAAATAAAAAGAAGTATATTTTCATATTATTTTGAATCGGTGCTGGGTAAGCGTTGGTAACAAAAACATTTTAGCAACAGTTATAGTCCAAGTGATATCAATCATTAAAGAAAATTAGTATATGATTAATGTATAAATCTAAAGGCTGACACGTATTTTTAATAAAATTACCGATACTATTTGAATCTATATATATAAAGCGCAAAAATCAGTGTGCCTGTCTGTTTGTCCGTTATCTAACTATTCTACTCCTAGGTCACTAGGCCAATCTCAACCAAACTTCCTGGGATGATAGTTTGGGACTAGGGGCATGTTAATGGAGTTTTTGAGCCTCCTAAACACCCCATTATTGCTGCTATTCAATATTTATTATATTTGATGCTAGTTAATTAACTACATGCATAGATGGCACCACGTCTTTACATTGAAAAACTACTTACACACAGTGTTGGGGAAGGCACATAAACGTCTTATATATTTCAGAGAATGCGCAAACACTCTCTATGAAGGTATGCAATGACAGAAATGGCTGCCACTATTGAAATAATACATAAACTCAGCTTACGTTTCTACTCCAACAGCCACCATAAGGCTATTATGAAGAGCCATTCCTTGAGTTATACTCACTTCCTACTTTAACACGTGAACTTTCAACTTCGGCCCGTATATGACACTTCTGCGGCCAACGACCATCTATTATTAATCACGTAAAACATTGTGGAAGGACATTAAGAGTTGGGTGTTGAAAGCGGGTAACAGAAAGCACCCCTACCGCCACTACTTTCGCCGCTACCTCTTCCTATAAAGTCACCCTGATCATCGCACAGTGTAGATCACGTTTTAAGTGTATACATAGTGAGTTTTTAAAGCTTATGCAAAAGTTTTGGGGGGTAATAATGAATCACTAACCATAAAAGGCTTATTCCCTTTGTCACAATATACATCGTTGCTTAGCAACAAAACTATGTTTATGTTGAATGCTCATTATTCAATTGTTAGAAAGTTTTTTATTCTATATTTATTTGATAACTTCTATGATATAGCAGCACAATATTTAAATTCAGAAGTTTTATGACATTGAGTTGTAGCCAAAAGCAAAATATGATTTACCAATTAGTGTTCCAGCTAAGCCTTAAGTTACTTTTGTGTATTAAATTAAGCTACAAATAGGTCTACTATTACTAATGTTATAAAACCAGTGCTTAAAAAGTTTTAAGTGGTGACTAAATGTTAATTATTAAATATTCTTTTGGTATATTAATACTTATATTACCTGCATGTCCTTAAAACAGAAAGAAAAATAAACATTTATTACTATCAAATATCTTTTACCCTTTGTACAGTCGAAAGAGTTGAAAATATGTGTCGGAATGTCCGCACTATGTTTCTACTTCCTGACCTAGAATACGATGAAAAGGCTCAACAGTGCACACGTCTTTTGTTCACGATAATATTTCATTTTTCTACGTAGTTTTTACGAAAAATGTAGTAATTAAAGAATTAATTTGAGACTGGTGAAATAAGTGAAAAGTAGGTGTATTTTGGTGCTACTAAACGAATGCGTTTTAGTTAATCATTTAACAATGGTTTCCCGTCATTTTTGATGGGCTTTTGTACTAATACTGAAATAATATGTTATAATAAATTGTGTGAAAGCTAGAATTTTGTGCTATTTATCATAGTATCCACCCAAACGTTAACATAACTCGGACAAAGGTTAGGTGCCTCAGCTTGTATAAAATAATTTGTTGCCAACTTCCAACTTCTTGAGTTTTGAAATCATTGTTTCATTAAAATTGAGAAGTTAATTATCTATAGCTGACTTTAGGCATCCGATCATTGAAAAAGAAACAAATTAAGAACGAATCAAGAGTGAAAAAAACGAATGAGGTAAAATATAATGGTAATCAAAGAAAAAACGAACTGGAGAAAACCAAGAATACTTTGATGAATTTTGTGCAGAAATTTAGCTTATTTCGACATCCAATGTTGACCAGCGATACAGTAATCATTTTAATAACAGGCTACATTTCTCTACACATTGAATTATATTATGCAGCAAAAAATTAACAAGTCTGAAATGTTTAACTATCTCCATTTTTTTTACAAAAACTAAAAGAAGTTTAGTGATAAAATGTTAAAGTTAAATGCTTCATAGCTATTTATTAATTCCTGCACCAGTCACTTTGTCAGTGAAACTGCGCAAAATTTATTTTATTTCTTGTTTTTATTTATATCAATTGACGTTCTGCTGCTGATTGTCCTTGAATTCCATTCAATCCTGCCTGTGTTTTGGATTATTAATTCTTAAGGTTAAGGTTATAATTTTGTAGGTTCGTCTATATCCTTGAAAAGATTCTATACATAACAAGAGACGTACATTAAGAAAACTGACGACCCACCGGGGAAAGTCCTCAAGTGAGTCAGTAGTAAGTTTACGCTAAAATCCAGGGTTTCATTTCCCGCGGTGGAGAAAGCAGATAGCCCAATGTGGCTTTGCTCTAAAACAAACATTGAGAAAATGCATACCTATGGCTTCAATATCAGAACATACAATTATGTTATGTTGCTTCTGTTTTCTACAGTATTCGTAAGAATGTATTATATTATATATATATATTGCAAGTAGTACTTAGTATGTAGGGATGGGTCAAGAAAACAATGGCTGCCGCATTCAATCTATTACTCCATGATGCTTACAAATAACTGCTAAAGTTGAGTTATAGCTTTAATTGAGCACCTAATTGCCATTATCGAGAGTTCAATACCTTGTCAGACTCCCAATATCATTGAAATATGTTGCTAAAGTGGAGAACTAGAAATCAAACGTGTTCATCTTTCTTTTTTCTTTTCCCACGATAGCCAAAAAAATGTGTGAAGTTTTCGCGCTGGCTTTAGTATGACAGAAAAGTATTTTAAGAACACTTGGGAACAGGCTATCACTGATCACGATAGTGCTTAGTATAAGTTAAAAACCAAAATTATAATATTAGTGTAAACGATATTATAATTACCTTTTAAAGTTAGCTTTCTTACAGAAATATGATATTCCTTTAAAATTCTTAAGTACAGGGTGAAACAGGAATTACCAGCTAATAATAGATGAACATTAAAAAACTGTAATGTGTAGAATACTCAATGTTTTGTAAACTATATAATCAGTGTCTTTAGGTTCCTCAATATTATGTCCCAATGAGTAAAGATTATAACCATTGATGATTAATAATATATTGTAGCCAGTTGTATGGTATAATATCAACATATAAGGTAATTCTACAAGTGCAATGAAGAAACTAGCCAAACTGATATGATATTCACAATATATATTACCATTGAATTATAAGAATAAAACAAGTGTTCACTTATCAAACTACTTTAATGAAAATCTTAAAAAAAAAGGAAGGAAGGAAGGAAACAAGTAATAAAAAAATTCACAAAATTAAGTATAAGTTAATGTTTGCAATGCCAAAAAGTACAGAAACAAGATGGGATAAATACATAAAACCATATAAAAATCACTATATAAGTAGCCAAATCTTTCCAGGAATAACTTGTATCTACAATTACATGTTGAATTTCTGTCAGCTGCACGAATTCATGTTTGAATAAAAGCATTTAAACTGAATAGTGCTATACAGTCTTATAGTGGCTAATACACAAGACTGTAAGATTGACTCAGTACTTACTGGCTACTTACGTAGGGATTTATATATGATTTTGTGTATTCATCCCTACCTTGTTTCTGTACTTTTTGGCATTTTCATCCCTATATCACACTAAAGTTTTAAATTTTTGTTATTACTTGCAGTGTATTATTGCTTAGATTATGTGAAGCATTCCAGGAAAGCTTTGTTCATCATCAAATCAAAAATTCAGAAACACAAAAAGAATCAAAATCTCAAGATGTTCAATTATTAGCGCGAGTTTAGTTATTGTAGTTTTAAGTTTGTATTTGCTAATAACTAGACCTAAGTTATCTTTATATCTTAAAATGAAATCCGTATGTCGCTTTGTTAGAATTTCTTACCTGTTCCAGTTATGTCGACACTGAATTTCAGGTGTTGTTTTACTTGGTAGATAAAAAAGCCGTGTGCAGAAAGAAGTCCGGAGGTCAGTAACTGTACTAACACAGCGCACCCACACACTACCCAACCCCATCCACCCTCAGGATAGTAGTGTTGATATATGGTTGCTGCTTTGGAATCTGGAGACAAAGAGAAGTTAAACCCGAGGATCTGAGCAGTGAGTTCATGTTGGTCACCAATAAACCTGGAGTCCTTGCGTTTGTCACTCTCTGCAGCAAAGTTGAAATAGTTAGCAGCACCTCGGACATCATTTACGCGCGAGACGCGAAGTAGTCGGTCGTTTTGGCTGTTGCTATAGGTCCCACCTCCGTAGTTAGTTAAACAACGACTTTGGTGATTAGCTGAGGCCAAAGATTTTGATCGGTATTTTTGTCTTTTTGCAAGTTTGCATGCGTTGCCGTGGTGACATTCAGCGTCCTGAGATGGATTCGTAACCAAATACTGCGAAGCACATCCTATTTCATTCCCAGTAGTGTTCATGCCTTTATTCTAGATGCTGTAACGCTCGACTTTAACGGCGAGCATGTTGGCCAAGATTGAGAATTGGTGTACACATGCCGAGTTTCCTAAGTACTCCAGCTCAGTTTGATATCATTGAGTGGCACACAGCATGACATACAAAAACAAGTCACACAAAACCGACATCCCGATAGTTTGTAAATCATCCTTTATTGAGAACACATCAAATACCAGTTTTGTAGTTGACCCATAAACTCAACAACAAACTCGTATTTTCAGAAATCCCGTTTATTTTGTTTGTCATTGTTGTTTCTCTTACACAACTTACACTATACTTTATTACCCTGTGGGTATATAAATTTAGCAAAATTCAATGAAGAAAATAATTTTCGTTCTTATTGAAGTAAGTCTGCATGTTAAAAAATAAAATCCCATAGCTAAAGACAGTTGTACTAACTCAAACTTAATCTGCCAACTAGAAAGTGGAAAGGAAATGAAAATTGAAGTTTGTGGTGACTACTATGTCATATGCACTTTAATACTCAAGATGTATACATTACTGATAAGAATAGGATTTATATGCACAAGATGGAACGAGGGGTGGTAAATAAGGTGAGAACAAAAGCAGTAGAAATAGAACAGAAATGTAATGTCTAATAGAAGATTGTTTTTTTGTTATACTAAAAGCTTAAGACTACTATTCCAATCTGGTTTCAACAAAGCGTATTGAACGTATACAGCTATGATAATAACTTTGTGCATAAGATACAGAAAATTTCCAAGAATACGCGACACGTTTGTTTCGAGTGAATTCAACCTGACATAGCTGATGTCAATTGTGACATCAAACTTAAAGAGCTTTTAGTTTAAAAAACTTAATTTTGTAGACTGCAGAGTACTTTGAAAGCAGCTTTCGGAAATGTTTATTTGTTCAAAGTAGACTAAAAACTGAAGTCTGACAGACAGACAAAATATTCGTCATACTAAATAACAAAGTTTAAAATATCTAGTGGTAGTTTAAAGTCTTCGGGTAAAAATCCATTATCTCTTGACATATCAAGTAAATGATGTTACAGAAAAATTCAAATAAACACAGTTGAGCTGTTAAAGACAAATTCCCTTTATTTATTTAGTCTTTACTTGACAAGGTTGACATTCAATCAGGTACAACTTCACAGAAGATAACAGTTAAGGGTATTTACGGGTTGTAAGTTGTTCTATTTGCTAATTACAAATTAACTAATAAATTAACTCTCATATAGTAAAACTAAGCACAAGTTAATCCCGTTCACAAACATATGGGTCTTTCAAGAATAGTAGTTATTCAGTAAGAATATTACTTACGAATAAAAATAAAAATATGGAAATAAACAAATATGCTATAATCCGTAAGTTATCTTCAAAGTCGAAGAGTGATGTTTGTATATACGTTCTGCAATTTTATGCGCTATTTTCAACCAGCCCCCAGTGGCACAGCGGTATGTCTGCGGACTTAC